CATTGTTTATACATTTGAGAGATGCACTCCTATGTGGGTCTCCGATTAGGTGGGGAGGGTCAGGTATGGAGGAAGGTGGGTTGGTCTAAAGCTTCAATTTTTTTCTTTTGTGTCCAAAGGGAAAGGGGAGGGAACTCCTTGCTGCCAAACTACCATTAGCATCCAGGGATGGGGGAACTGTCATTTAATGACTCCTTAGAGATATCAATGTGGAGAAGAATATTCTAAGGGTGTTACTTGAGTGATTTTTGATAATTCTAAGACTTTGTTGGCTTCCTTGCACCAGGGTTGTGAAAATCTTTCCAAGGTCTGCTTGATCAAGTTCACCTTAGTGCGTGCACAAGGCCAGGAACATATTGCAAAGCTCAGCCAGAATTGTCCAGCCTGTTCTGTTTTCCGTCGTCTAAGGAGGTAGGTTATGTCCTCTGCTGACCCAAATGAGTTGGCTGTCATGTCCTCCCTATGCATTTGGGCATGCTGTCCACTGCACAGGTATTGGTAGATGAGGAGGTCCAGTCCTGATATATGCAATCTAAGGACAGATTATGTACATTGTGATATTTCCTGTAACCAGGGTTTGAATCAAGCCATTCAGGTCAGAAGTCCCCCATGAAACCTTGCCTGAAGTGACATCAGACCTGACTCTTGTTTGTGCTAGTTAGTACAGAGTCAGTTTCAGTCTGTTACCTGCACCAGCCAATGCATATCCTGGTTGATGCATCTGCTTGGTCAGTTTCACCTTCAGCCTAATCTCTCATGCGAACTGATGAGTGCTGCAGCCTAGCCCAGCCCAGGCAGCCACAGGTCTGGTCTTCATGCACACCAATGGTGTCATGGCCTAGTTAGGGGGACCCCTGATAACCTCACCAGGCCTGCACACAGTCCCGATTTTCATGTGTGCTGTAGCCTAGCCTGGTCTGTCCAGCATCACATCTGGCACTTGTGCACATCCTGTGGTTGCTGCAGCTTACCTCAGCCTGACCCACTCCCACAATCAGCCCACATGTATATCGACTGGTGCTAACTCCTTGCTCAGCCAAATATGCCACCAGCTGTGACTCTTGTGCTCACCAGTGGGAGCTGCAGCCTAGCAGAGGTTCGCCTACAGTTTCCCTATCAGGCCTACTCCCAACCCTAGATCTTGGTGCTTTCCAGAAGGTACTGTAATCCAGCCTGACATAACTTGCACCCAATCCCAGCACTTGCCAGAAGGTGTTGCGACCTAGCCTGGCTGGTACATACCCATTCTGGCTTTTGTGTACACCAGCAGGTGTGGCAGCCTAGCCCAGCCTGCCTGCTTCCATTCCTAGCCCTCAGTCCCAGCTCTCATGCTCACCAGTGGAAGCAGCAAACCAGCAAGGGAGTTCCCCAAGATCTGGTACCAGACTCACTCCCAGTCCTGGGTCTTGCACATGCCAGTGGGTGCTACAGCTTAGTCTGAGATAGCCTGTCCTCAGTCTTGGCATTCAGCAGCAGGTGCTACATCCTGCCTTAGCCTGGCATTCCCCCAGTCCCAGCTCTCGCAGTCAGATGCAACATCCTCGCCCAGCCTAGCCCACCCCAGTCCTCACATTAACTGGTGGGTGTCATGGTCCAACCATGCCTGGTCTGTGCCCAATCCTGGCTCTTGCTCGTGCCAATGGGTGCTGTGGGCTGATCTGCTAAGTTCTTAACTGTTCAAGGTACGTGTCTGTTTCTTTGATATTTATGATTCACACTTGAGCTAGATAGTTACATTTCTGTGTTATCAAATAACTTATGAATTTAGAGTCCATCTGACAGATTTTTTCTTTCCTGCATAGCTTTTTTTGGGGGGGGGACATTAACTGACCCCATTCTGACTTAACTATCCCATAATAGCTCTTACTCTGTTCAAAACAGTTCATAGAGTAACTCACTTCTTCAATGGGAAGTCCTCTATATAAAGTAGTTAACTCACTGTCTTGAGGCAGTGATGTACAGTTTAGATAAATATTCACTGGGCTATCTAAAAGGCACCTCTATTTTAACAAACTTACCTGAAATGTTGATTTCCTTGCCTATATTCCTTTATGTTACTTTCCCCCTGATCTTCCCTATCTTTTGAAGCGGCCACTATTCTCATTTTCTTTGTTAAATCCATAGCCCTGGGGCTACTCATAACTCTTCTCTTATCTCCCATATCCTGTTTCTAATTAAGCTGAGAGTTCTGTTAGACCTTTTTCAAGATATCTCTAGAATCTAACCATTTGCTACTACTCAACACTACTGCTACTATTGTGGTCTAAGCCAACATCATCTCCGTTGTATTACTGTCTTCCTAATGTGTCTTCCTACTTTTGTCACTTTATTTATGTACCTGTTTCCAACACAACAGGTAAGGGGATTTTGTTAAAATACAAGTCAGATCCTATCACTCCTCTGCTCAAAATCCTCCTGTGCTGTCCTTTCTCATGCATAATAAAAACCAGAGTCCTTACTTTGGCCCGCAAGGCTCTAGACTGGATTTTTCTCTCTGATTTTGTCTCTTTTCCTTTCCATCTTGTTTTCCCTTGTTTCCAAACATGCTAAGCATTATTCTCAAGCAGAACTTCTGAGTTTTCTGTTTCCTCTTTCCCCACATAGTTGCATGGCTCAACATTTGCAGGGCTTACACGTTCATGTCATTAAGGTCCCTCCACAAATGTTTCCCATCTTAGAAACATTGCTTAGTCACCTTACAGTATAAGCCAACACTTTCGTGTTCTATTTTTCTTCACAGCACTTATTGACACCAACTTTATTGTCTTTCTGTTTACACTGGAAGTAAAGCTCCTTGGGGGGAATAAAGAAGGGCTGTCATGTGCTGGATCCTGTTCTCAGCAATGAGGATAAAAAAGTAAATAAAACAAACTGAAAAACTCTTACGGTATTTCTATTCCAGTATTATCTAAATTGCTATATTTACTCAGTATTTGATGAATGTCGGTATTTTAATTTAACTTAATAATAAATACAGTATACTCAAAAGCATAACAAGAATGGTTCAAAAGAAAAGGATGTTTGGATCTTCTCATTGCCCTTTAACTCACTAGAGGACTCACCCCATCTAAAGAAGTGGTTGAATAGCTTCCCAGGTGAAAAACTCAAAATCTAATAAAATCCCAGGACTCCCCAGGCATTTTATATCTCTAACTCTAAGGGGCTCTTCAATTCCTCCAAGATTTACTGAGAAAATAATAATTTCTGGACTGTATGGGAATCTTGGCATTGGTACAAAGTACCTAGTCTAGCTACTGAATAGAATATTAGATCAGAAGGGAAACAGATAAGAAATGCTAAAAACTAATAAAAATGTTTTGATCTTTATCAATTAGAAAACCTGTTTTGCATCAAGACAGAATAGATATTCTAAGGAACATAAGTATTAGAGATGTTGGTAGCCAGATCCAGATACAGTAGTTTAGGGGAGAGGAGGAAATTGTCTTTAAGAGAAAACTTGGGAGGTTAGATGTAGTGGTAAACCTCAGAGACCATTTTTAGACTTCCCACTTGGAAAGGGAAGGAAGATTATGCCTATTACACAAAGTGATATATTTCTTATGAACACCCTCCTCCCCTTCTTGGCAAGCAGAGATTATGAAAGTTTTTGTGGTACTTGGAGAGATCTCCAGGGAATAGCCAAAGATAAACAGACTTACATGGTGTAGACAGTGAGATGATTAGGACAGAAAAGGAACTGTGACTTGCAGCTTCCCACTCCCACATAGCCACAAAGCTGCAAGTATGAGGTAAATAAGGGGCGTTGTTACTCCTTGGACACCACCCAGCCTTGAACTTGGCCATCAATTGCATGCAAAATATATGTTCTAGAGAATGGTTCCATTGGTTCAATTCTTTATTTGAAGGTTCAGGATGGCTATCCTGTCACTGAATCAGAACATTTTATGTAATTTAGTTACTGCTCTGGCTCTCTTTTTACTTATTACAAGGTCCTGTTTCTTAGCTTCTTTTCATACTTTATCCAATTCTACTTCTTTCTGCCCCTAAAGACAAAGTCCTGGCTCCATTTCTTCAACAGCTCCCATCTTCTGGAACTGTTTCCATCACTGGCCCTTACATTGACAAATGTCAGCTTAAAATTTTTCATTTTCATCTTTATAAAGTCATATTGCTTTGTATCCCTCCAGACACATATCATTGGCAGATGTAGTCCAGACACATGCTGTATTTGAATCCAGATGGCTTTGCAGCAGCCCAGAGCCATGCATTCTACAAACTCCTGTGCCAAAGGGGTAGCATTGTGTCAACTGACAGAGTGATGTTGAAATATCAGAGAGATTCAAAGACCCTGCCTGGAAGCTAGCTCAACATTTTGCTATGCCCCACAGAACACATTGCTAGCTACCTTAAAGCTATTATACCTGCAAAAGGACAGTTTTCATTCGTACATCACTGTTTATCTGAAGGGACAGTTATCATGAATTCCTATGACAAACACCAACTATGTGTAAGATACTAGGCTAGATTGCAGGGTTCCACAAAGAAAAACAAATCCCTGTCCTCAAAGAACTTACAGACTAGTTCTAGAAGCCCTAGTTCATATTTGGGCATGGTAACAGATACCAATATTGGTTTGATTATCATTGGAATCAACACATCACCTAAGTGCAGCATGGCATAACAGTCAAATGCAAAAAAAAAAAAAAAAAAAAAAAGAAGAAGAAGAAGAAGAAGAAAAATTAAAAATAAATTGGACCTCATGGTGGCTTTGGTAAATGGGAGATGTGAGCAGGAAAAAGGAGATCCTTACAGACATAACTGCTCCCGTAGGTCTCAGACATATTGAGAGGAGACTGGATGTATCTGGAGTTGGAGTCAGTCACTAATAGTTTAAAGAACTGATTGGTTGATTAGGCTGTTACTTTGAGTCTTTAGACAATATGTGAGATGATGAAGCACACTTGAGAAGGTGGTTCTTAGAATGGGATTTTATTAACAGAAAACTCAGAAGTCATAAAAGATCATTTGAGTAGACTTACCATCTGCTCCTTCACTGCTTTTGCTTCTTTTATTACGGCGAACACGCCTACTTTCCTCTCCAGAGTATGACTTTTCATCAGGGAAGAAGAAATTCAATAAGGCCATCTGTAAAACAAGATGAGTCAAAGGTTAAACCAGGCCAGCCATAGCCAGCATAAAAAATTAGCTGTCTATAGACAATCCATCTTCACCTTAAATTTTAATATCTCTAATGCCTGAGCCCATTTCCTCCTCCACTGTACACTTTTATTTTTGACTTTGTTATTTCAATTACATAGGCACGAAATTTTGGTTAATCTCTGAATCTTCCTCTTCCGCAAGGAATATCTAGTTAGTAATTTATCAGGCAACACTTCTTCATAGGTTTCTGTGATTCAAAGAGCCCAGGAATAAATTTCTGGATTTCTTCAGGCACTAATGATGCTTGCCCAGAGTTAACCTTGACTTTGCCATATCCTTGTACTTCTTATTACATACTCGGGATTGTGCAACATTCTTATTTATGCTATACTTGTGGTTTGTCCCTGGAATGGTATGCATCCAACCGAGGTATCACATATGTCAACACTGTCGTGGGAGCTAGTCACGACAAAACAAAATCATTCTCTCTTATTCTGTGAATCATACAGTACCTGTGATCTACAGGACTCATTTTGATATTTGGTACTCTACTACATTTTAAAGGTTTGTTTTTAAAGATTTATTTATTTTTGTTGGAAAGGCAGAGAGAAGGAGGCACAGAGAGAAAGATCTTCTACTGATTCACTTCTCAAGTGGTTGTAACAGCCAGAGCTGCACCAATCCAAAGTCAGGAGCCAGGAGCCTCTTCCAGGTGTCCCACACAGGTGCAGGGTCCCAAGGCTTTGAGCTGTCCTCAACTGCTTTCCCAGTCCACAAGCAGGGAGCTGGAAGGGAAGTGGAGCAGCCGGGACATGAGCCGGCACACATATGGGATCCCAGTGCATGCAAACTGAGGATTTAGCCACTAGGCTACTGTTCTGGGCCCGTTAATGATCTTATATAAAAACACAGTATATTTCCTGTATGAATGGTTTAGCTTAGCAATACATTTGTAGCAGTAAATCACAATCTTTCAGTATAAATGCATCATTGTGGTGAAGTTATGTGCTTGGGGGTAAAACAGTAGACGAGTAGTAGGATTAAGAGTGAGTCTAATCCTGACTCTATCACTTACTAGATGTGTAACCTTGGACTTGTCACTTAAGTTTTAACTTTCTCATCTGAAAACAGAGATAATTATGCTTTATTGATAAATCCACTGTAGGGTTACACAATGTCCAGAATGTAATATACATTCAATAAATGTTAACTTATTACTGTTACAATTAACTTTTAAAATGGACTGGTTAGACAGTTTGGAGCATTTTAAAAAAGAAGCATAAATGCATCTGCATGTCATTCTATGACTTCATAAAAATTAATTTAAATCCTCATGTCTGTTTATTTTCTTATTAATAAGAAAACACAGGGCCCGGCGGCGTGGCCTGGTGGCTAAAGTCCTAGCCTTGAACGTGCCGGGATCCCATATGGGCACCGGTTCTAATCCTGGCGGCCCCACTTCCCATCCAGCTCCCTGCTTGTGGCCTGGGAAAGCAGTCGAGGACGGCCCAAAGCCTTGGGACCCTGCACTGGCGTGGGAGACCTGGAAGAAGCTCCTGGCTCCTGGCTTCAGATTGGCTCAGCTCTGGCCATTGCAGCCACTTGGGGAGTGAATCATTGGATGGAAGCTCTTCCTCTCTGTCTCTCCTCCTCTCTGTATATCTGACTTTCCAATAAATAAATAAATCTTAAAAAAAAAAACATGTAGGTTGTAACCAAGAAAGCCCTGAGATTTAACATAAGTGATATTTAAAGCCCTTGATTTATTGTTCATATGAAATGATTGTATCCAATAGTTTCAGGATCAGTGTCTACAACTTTTCAATAGGGTTGCATTTCAAAACAAATTTAGGTTGAATGATATGAAAATGCTATTTTTATATGCAAAATGTTTGACTATGAGCAATTTCGTATTGCTCAACTGCCACTTGATTAGAATGTAAGATGTGTTAACAAAATGAATCTGGCCAGGTTTCCTTATAAGCACACAGAAAGTTAACCTAATGGTAATAAATATAAGCTAATGTACTAGTAACAATACCAAACCAAAGTACTATTTTTATAGTAAAATCTCAACCCATTTGCAATTCTACAAGTCATTTCTGGTTAGAAGAGTTTTCTTAATAATTTTGAGTGCCAAAAATTATTTTGCTATTTTGAATGCAACATGTATACCATCATTTGGGGGCTTAGTAAACATGTAGAGGACCACTGACAGTAAATGATACCAGTCTACTATGATTCTGGGATTTTATTTTATTGTTCTAACCATTACAGAATGATTCATGCTTTGCTAGAGGAGTTTAAGTTTCTGTGGGAGCAGCAGGAGAAGAACTTAATCCAGACAGGGAGTAGACAAGGATTCTTAGAGAGAGTGAATCCTGAAACACAGTAAGGGTTTAGTGCTAAATAGGAAATGGAAAATGAATTACAGGAAAAGGGAGCAGTAGGTTTAAAGGTTTAAAGGAAAGAGAGAGAAGAGCAGTTTGGGAACTGTACATAGCTTAGAATAAGTTGCAGGAGGCGAGGAGGAATGGCGAACCGTGAGCCAAAGAGGTGTTAAAGCATTTAAAATTGATCCTGCGGCAGAAGATGCTCCAAAGGATTATTTCTCTTACAAAAGTTCTGGAATAGAATACATTTTGAGGTGAAAATTGCATACAAGAAAATACATCACCTTAAAGCATACAGTTAAATAAAACAAAGAAAAAAATTAAAGCATACAGTTCAGAGAGATTTAACAAATGCACATATCTTTGCAATCAGTGCCCAAATAAGAACATTTCCATCACTCCAGAATTTTTCTATGTGCCCAATCCAGTCATTCCCCAGAGCCTCCTACCCCGACGAAACAATCTTGGTTTCTATTACCAAAACTTATTTCTTCCCATTTTAAACTAGAATCATGATTTTCATTCAATGTGATGTCTGTGAGATCTAACCATGTTATTGCACGTATAAGTAGTTCGCCACATGTTAGTACTAAGTAGGATCTCCTTAAATGGTTCTATCACAGAGTTAAAATACACTCTCACTTGTTGATGATTATTTGGGTCATTTTCAGATTGATATAAAAATTCATGTACGTGGGCCTGGAGCGATAGTGTAGTGGTTAAGGTCCTCGCCTTGCACGTGCCGGGATCCCATACGGGCGCTGGTTCTAATCCCATACAGGCCCCACTTCCCATCCAGCTCCCTGCCTGTGGCCTGGGAAAGCAGTTGAGGACGGCCCAAAGCTTTGGGACCCTGCACCCATGTGGGAGACCTGGAAAAAGCTCCTGGCTTCTGGCTTCAGATTGGCTCAGCTCCAGCCATTGCGGCCGCTTTGGGAGTGAACCATTGGACAGAAGATCTTCCTTTCTGTGTCTCCTCTTCTCTGTGTATCTGACTTTGCAATAAAAATAAATAAATCCTAAATTCATGTACATATCGTTGTATGTACATACATTTTCATTTATTCATGGATAAACAACTAGGGATGGAATTGCTTGGTTATATGGTATATAATTGTCCAAAGAAAGTGGCAGACTGTTTTTCAGTGTGACTGTAACATTTCTATGCTCACCAGCAAAATTTGAGAGTCTCAGTGCACATCAATACTTGGTATTTTCACTATTTTTAAAAGGTTTATTTATTTTTATTGAAAAGGCAGATATACAGAGAGGAGGATCTTTATCTGCTGATTCACTCCCCAAGTCGGCTGCCACAGCTGGATCTGAGCCGACCTGACGCCAGGAGCCTGGTGTTTCTTTTGGGTCCCCCATGTGTGCAAGGTTCCATGGATTTGGGCCATCTTCGACTGCTTTCCCAAGCCATAAGCAGAGAGTTGGATGGGAAGTGGGTGGCTGGGATACGAACCAGCACCGATATAGGATCCTGGCATGTGAAAAGTGAGGACTTTAGCCAATAGGCTATGGCGCCGTGCCCTATTGTCACTATTTTAAATGTTATCTATTCTAGTGGACGTGAATTACTGAGTTATTACGGGTTTTTTTAGAGTTCTTTTTCTTTTTTTTTAGAAAAATGAAATATTTGAAAGGCAGAATTAGAGAGAGAGGGAGGGAGAGACAGAGAGAAAGAGAGAGAGAGAGCAAGAGTGAGAGAGACACCCTCTATCCATCCTCCAAATGACCATAATGGTTGGGGCTGGTCCAGGATGAATCCAGGAGCCAGGATATTCCTCCAGATCTCCCACATGGATGCAGAGACCCAAGGACTTGGGTCATTCTACAATGCCCTCCGAGGCATATTAGCAAGCAGCTAGACTGCAAGGAGAACAGCCAGGACTCAAACCAGTGCCACATGGGAAGTTGGCATCACAGGCAGTGGTTTAACTCACTCTGCCACAATGCTAACCCCCCCCTTTTTTTAAGTTCTTAAATTGCTTTTTAATATCATCTACCTTATAATGATACATTTTCTAGTTTCTTAAAATTTGCTGCTTATAATCTGCTATACCTACTTGATATCTGGTTAAGCTAATTAGATTCACACCAAAACTAGCAGTAGTGTGATTTGAATGACTTTTCTAATAAGTAAGTTTAGAGGCTTTTTTTTTTTTTTTTTTTGCTTTGCTTGATTCCTGGATGTGGCTAGCACAGGTGAATTTGTCATAGAAACACATTGTGTTGGCTAGATTATGACAGTGTTAGTTCTAGGAAAAAGCTATTCTGAAATGTAAAGGGAGAACCATCCTATCATCAACAATTACTACTCCAGAATTTCCTCATTTTCTTTCTGCTCCCTAATGAGTTCAGGTCCTATGAGAGTTCTAGCTGAGACCTGTGTTTCTTGTATCTGGGTGGGGGCAGCAGAGAGGTAATCAAGTATTAATTATTCCAAAGGGTCTGATGGGAGCCTGTGAGAAGAGCAAGGCTGGTGGAGAAACAAACTTCTGTAAAACGCAGAAATAACTCCAACTTCGACGGGTAGCAAGAGCAGTTCACAGTCCCTCAAGAGAGGCTGCTGTTGCATGTGGGACATTT